GAGTAAACAAACATGATGAAAAAACAGGTACTAAATATATCTCCTCTCTAGCTTTAAATACAATTAAAATGGGTCACAAACACGGCTCTCCTTTATTAATATAAAACAGGACACGTGTGTGTGTGTGTGTTTGTGGGGGGGGGCAGTTCCTTGTCTCGATTTTTAACTTAAATTTCTTTACTCTTTAGTGCAGCTGTTCTCAAAGTGGGGCGAGGTTTTTGGTGGCGCCCAGAGCTGCCACAGGAGGGACACAGTGAGGTAAGAAACTCACATTTGTCATTGATTTGGGTGTTAGTGGAAATGAAAAAATATATATCTGGGTGATAGAGGTGGGCTCCTCCTCCGACGACAGGATTTTCTCCTGTATTTTCCAAAGGTCCTCTCTGTGCCGGAGCGTTTTGTAAGTAATTTTCCCTTCACTGGACTTGAGGGCGTTCTGGGGCACAATGCATAAATGTATGACAGAATGAGTCTACGGTGCATTTGATAAAATATTCAGGTTTTCTGCATTTTGGTCCAAAGAGGACCCCGCTCTTCAAAAAGGAGAAGAGAGGAGAGAAGAGAAGAGAGGAGAGGAGAAAACAGAAAGGAGGAACCAGCAGTGATCTTCAGATGACTCAGAGTTAATGTCATGGACATTAGCAGAGTGAAGCTGATGTAATCTGGATGAATGTCCTATTAGCATCAGCAGCTTGAGACAAACCAAACCAAGAGTTCGGCTGCTTCTGAAAAGTGCAGTTGGTCATGTGACCATGGATGAAAGTGTTTTGGGTTTTTTGACCAGAAGCAAATTTCACTTGTCATAAAAACAAAAAGCTTTTCTGACTGGTTGAGGCAAAGGGACGACGAGGACCCACCTGCTCCCCATCTTTCTGGACTGGCACGCCATCTGACGCTGAGAGGAGAGACAAAGAGACAGAATGGGGGAGAGAAAAGAGAGGAGAACGTCAGTTTGTTCTTCATACTGAACTAAACCTGGGGTTTAAGAACAAGTGTTAAATCAAATGAAATACAAACACATGAATTATTCTGTAAATCACCATGGTTCATTGAGTTCCAGATGCCCCGCCCACCTCTGCAGTGGCAACAGTTGAGCAGCGAGAACAAAACTTTTACCCAGCTTTAAAGACATGTGCAAATTTAACTTTTTCTTTTGCGTGCGTGCTCAGTAAAGTAGTGTATGCAAATCTGACAGGTATGGTAAACCGACAGGACAACAGACTGTGGTCCAAGTTTATATGTTTGATCCAGAGACGGTGTTTGTCCAGTGAAAAATGATGTATTTGTGACATCACAGCCTGTGACGTCTGAGAGATCAATTTTGAGATGAACGTCCAACCGTCCTCCTTCAAGGTGAATGGATGTTTATTGTTATTCCCACAGTTCACAGCAGAGTTAACGCTGTCATCGTGGTAACTATGCACTTGTTGGATCTGTTTATGAACAGACGTATTTTTGGCTTCTGCTGAAATGACCGTTGTTCCAGAAACTGCTCCGTAATCATTCAGTGAGGTTTTTGCAGGAGGACGTCGGGACCAAATAATGACTCACCAACTCTTCATCAACACCCTGACCTCCAGGATGTCCGGCTGATTTTACTGCCGGACACCAGCACCGCCAGCATTATTTCCGTCACCACTGGAACACCCTTTAAAAGGTCGTGTTAACTTTACCGTTTGAATGTTCAGTACAGTCTGTGTAACTGACGCTCATTGTGTTTTTAAAGATTTGTTAATCATATCCTATCATGTGTTGTTACATCCCCAGTGAAAACTCAGGGATATACAGTTATACAGTTCACCTGAGAGTTCATCTAATAATGACAAAAATACACAGTGTATTTGATAAATGAATATTATTATCCCCCTTCATTCCTGCCTTTCCAAATCCTAATTAGAGCAGTGCTTTAATTAGATAGACTGTGGTGCTAATGGAGTTTAAACACAGCTCGGGTCTCCTGGTGCCTGCTCTTTGTATCAGAGGGTCTGTGCTCCGGGTGTGCAACTCTCTGAGGGGCTTACTCCTGTGTCAGCGCTGTGTATCTCTGTTAATGTGATCCAGTTAGTTTGGCTCAGCCAATCACGTTCACGTTCAATTCTTCTTCTTTCACAGCCCCGAGGATCGGCCGAGCTGGTGGCTCTCTGGATGTCCAGTGAAGCCTCTGACCTACTGACCCACTGGTTCAGAAACATGGACCGCCGTTTGTGTCGGACACTCGGATGTTTGTCTTCTGTCTGAACGTTGTCCAGTCTCGTCAGGTCAAGGCCAGGACAGGTGAGAGAGGACACACACTTACGTACAAAGAACAAACCAGGGTGAGTGTGTTTGGGTGTGTGTTCGTGGGTTTATTTTATTTTGGTTTGACCCACTTTGACTAAACCCATTTTTGGTTGTTTCTATATTTAGTGTGACTTACTTGGTATTCTCACGATCACAGAGGGTATTTGAAGTAACTGACTGGTTATAAACTGGTAAAACTGGTGCAATTAAAAATCTAATTTTTTTGAAGATAACATTTAGAGATTTTTTTTACAGATATTCATGTGAAGTTAAAGGTTTTTTTTCTCCAGCTTTGCAAAACTCAATTAACCCTCGACCTTCTCCAACCTCAAGGTCAGTGGATGTCTGTTGTTATCGTACATGACACAGTAGGGTTTTATTTTTGTTTGACTCACTTTGACTTAAACCATTTTTTATAGTTGTTTCTACACTTGCTGCGACGTGAAGTTTACAGACTGGTTAAATAATATTAAAATTAAGCGGCTGTGACGCCACAATATGTCAAGACAATTTTTTTTTTCCTCCACCTGAAGTTTTTGATTCTGATCAAGACATTTTTTTTTTCCTCCACCTGAAGTTTTAATCAACAAAGAGCGCTATAGCTGTCAGCACCCACCGTTGTATAGAATCATATAACAATCACTTCACCACCATGGAACGCGGTGGAGATCAGTTATTAGCGGCTGATGTCAGGGAGACCACAAAGTTTTATTTTCTGCCTGTGTGAGAGAAAGTGTCCCAGATTTCCTGCGCATCTGGGTTAAAAATCTGCCCTGCAAACACAAACTGCACACGAACATATATGCACGGCCACATATAACACAGTGGGCCTGCAGCGGCATCCCATAATGCACAGGGAGCTCATGCATGTCCTTTACATCCTCTGCTCCGCTTTATCACCTCTCCATTTCTTTTGCTTGTTCACAACTCTTATAATTTCTCAACCGTATTTTTGCCAATTAGTAGATTAGACCCCCCCCCCCCCCCCACACACACACACACACACACATGAACCACAGTAAACATACTTGAGTTGAGAGTCCTGCAGACTGCAGCAGTACGTACAGGCCGTTGGAAGGCCTCCAGCTTCAGCACAGCAATGCACCAGAGAGCGCCCCGCTGTGGCCGTGTGTGTTTATTATCTGCTGTCTGTCACCCACGTGTTAGATTACATCATCAGTGCTATAGCGGGCCGTGATTAGTCAGAGTTGCTTATGGATGACGGGTCTGGAGTCATTATCCTCAGCAGTCAGATGGCACTCAGTGTTTCTGCACTCAGGTACGGGGCGCTCCGGGGCGGCGGGGCAGTAAGGAAATGCGTAATTCTGCTCCTTGAAAGAGAGGCAGGATCCCTGTGTGAGAAAGCTGCGACAGCAGAGCACATGACCTGAGCTCCAAGCCAGATTTCTCTCTCCCCTGACGCTCTCCCTCCTCCTCTTCCTCCTCCTCCTCCACACACACACACAGAGCAATACCTGCCCTGGATACCCCCCCCCCCCTGTGGTCTTAGGGGAGTCAGGCTCAGCTCAGCTCAGAGGAAGAAACAAACAACCGGAGCTCTGCAGTGACGGCGCTGTCAAGACACGCTCTGAGTGCATATGGTCTAACGACTCTCACCGATGTGAGGAGAGCATCTGAGCGTCATTTATCTTTTTTAGTCCCTCTGCCCCGCAGCAACAACACTGAGGAACCACTCAGGGCTCTTCGTGCCAGTTCATCCTGATAGCTGTGGCAGAGCCGGTTGCCAAGGATGGGGTACCGGCCTGGATGGCAGCCCTCGTCCAATGATACGAGCAGATGCTGGGTGACAGAGCTCCCATTTCTAACAAGAACACAGCTGAGGACCAGAGCCCAGATGGGCCAGAAATGTTTGTGGAGGAGGCGGAGTTAGAGTGTGTGTCGGCATGTAAGTGACACACACACACAGGGCTCAGGTTCATCATCATCCATCAAATACCATAATGTTCTGCTGTGGTACCATGGAAAGAACCAGACCGCGTTTACAAAAGTAAAGCTGCAGTAAAAGAATAAATAAAAACCCTCCAAAATCCCAGATCAACAAAACACCTTTGTCTCAGTAGACCAACAGGTCTGACATGAAGGTGAATAAACTCTAAAACAGAGGAAGAAGAATTTATATCAGTTAGTCAATTGAGAAAAACTGCAGCAGAATGAGCTCTACAGTCAGCGGAGTCCCTGATTCCCAAACCTGGGGGGGGGGTTTATCAGGCTTTAAAAGTGTGACCAGTGTGACCACCGTGGTGGTCCTGAATTAACCAAAAGTCAATTCAAAATAAACTGAATTGAATTGAATTTCCTGTTGACAGGAGATTTTTTCCAGTTGAATTTCCTGTTGACAGGAGATTTTTCAGCACAGTTTTTGCTGTGATCAACAACAGTCAGTGCTGGTCGTAGACTAATGCACATTAATTCATTTCCATTGATTCACACAATCACTTTCCCACTAACACACACACACACACACGGATCACGCTGTAACGATGAAATTCTCTCGTTCACAGCATCGTGTTTGAATATTGTAACTGGCTCTTTGGCTGAGTCACATTGTTTACAGAAAAGCCTGCCATCAAGTGCCCACGCACAGGCCCTTTACTTTTGATCTGCCACGTACACACGCAAACCCAAGATGACACACAGAGGTGCAAGGACACGCAAACACGCCACCTAGCCGTCACCGCCGTCCT